GTGTGCGTGTGCAACTTTACAATGTATGTAAGAATTCTAAGTTCACCGAACATGTAAAGTTCAGAATTGTAAAATTCTAGGAATAGCAGCAATGTTTGAACTTTACATTTTGTAATCGTAATCGCGCGGCCCTCAATTGTGGAGCAGTATTGTGGACGAGAAAGATAGTTATAATATTCTATAGAAATAATTTCCTATTGGTGATTCCTTTCCAGTCAAGGGATAAGTGAATCAGAATGATGAACGCTACTTGTAACTTAGATGAAATTGCTTGTTCAACAGCTTTGTGGTTTTGGCATGCGAATAATATGGCTGGACCGGCACAAACAGGTAATCATGCTGCAACAACGAAAATCATCAGTATTATTGAATGTAATGGTGGATCAGAACAATCAAGAACAACGTGCACAAACATATCAACGAGTTAGACAATCATTTGGATTCGGACAATGAAATAATAATTTATACTGTTAAAGATTTGCTTGAGGGTCATTCTTTGGAGACTGCCGATTCTACACAAAGTCTAAATTTCTGCTTTTTATGGTTCGGTAGATAAACCGAATTTTGCCTGCTTTATCGCGTCTAATCGTACCAGAACTGGACCGATTGAGAAACGGTAAACCGATCCGATCTGTAAACTGGCCGGCTGGAATTATAACTCAAACTGGTGAAAAACTGCCGAAGTATTTTGAAAATAAATTTTCAGAAATAATTTCCCCCGGAAACAAAATAGTTTGCTAGCACACGTGAGAGAACCCTCACAATAACGAGTTTATAACATCTAATCTTAAAACAAGTGATGGAAATAATATATGTTTTGAGCATCATCTTATTTATTCTGAGAGAAAAAGACATGAAATATCAGTTTTTCGACGTAAAACACGATAAAAGGAGCCGATTTTTCAAAAGTTTCAGTCGATGAAATACCAATCTCTACCGGCCCGGTTGACTTTTTCAGCCGGCTCTGAAGCGTACACACCCTACGTTGAATATAAGTCACATTGTGCGGAATACATTCACAGAAGACGCTGGCGTGACTAGACTATCACTACTTTCATTGCTCTGCTT